ATCATACTTGCGATGTTATCACTAATATCTAAAACTTACCATACTTGCGATGTTATCACTAATATCTAAAACTTACTATACTTGTAATGTTATCACTAATATCTGAAACTTATCATACTTGCAATGTTATCACTAATATCTGAATCTTACCATACTGATGATGTTATCACTAATATCTGAAACTTATCATACTTGCGATGTTATCACTAATATCTGAATCTTACCATACTGATGATGTTATCACTAATATCTGAAACTTACCATACTGATGATGTTATCACTAATATCTGAAACTTATCATACTTGCGATGTTATCACTAATATCTGAAACTTACCATACTTGCGATGTTATCACTAATATCTGAATCTTATCATACTTGCGATGTTATCACTAATATCTGAAACTTATCATACTTGTGATGTTATCACTAACATCTGAAACTTATCATACTTGCGATGTTATCACTAATATCTGAATGATAAGTTTCAGATATTAGTGATAACATCGCAAGCATGATAAGTTTCAGATATTAGTGATAACATCACAAGTGTAATTTTGATTAAATTTTGAATGTAAGAAGGTTGTGACATGCAAACTTTGACCTGTTTGTATCCAGAAGGTTAATACTGTTATGGATCAGGAAATAATAAGAGCAGTGTTTTGAGAAGTAGGTGGTCTATTTTAAACTTGGATGTACAATTGTAGATAAAAAAAAATTGATAAGTCTCATTGGTATAATCACAATTAATGGAGCAGGTGATGCATTGTGTTTACTTACATTTGGACTTTCTGCTGTCATTGGTAGCTGCAGCAGCCATACAATGCCATCATAATAAGTAAATCTTAATCAGAGTTTTTATTAAGGCTGTGGTACTCTGAACATTTTTCACCTTTCACCTAGGTTTCATTCATCCACGGCAGGCTGCAGCCCCCTGTCAGATCATTATGATCATGACACTTAAGTGCTGGCAAGGCGTGTTCTCGATGAGAATATTTGGTGATGAGATTCAAACCCGTGACCCACAGATCCTGAGTTAAATGCCATAACTATCAGGTCATAGCTATTTTAATTATGATTTAAATGAAAACAAGTAGCAAAAAAATAAAGAAATGCTTCTGTAGGCTTGCTGAAACAAAAACAACATGCATTTTGAATTATATAATTTAGGCTGATGTCTACCATCTTCAAAATATTATGTGAAATAACCATTTATAAATGGAATGAAACATCAAGTATTGAAACACAGATTTTCAGAGAGGTAAACAGATATAGTAATTGTGAAATATTGCTTATTTTGCTATAAGTACCCCACCATGCAAGCGTGGTAGAATTCAGAATTTATTGATAACATCATCAGTATGGTAAGATTCAGATATTAGTGATAACATCGCAAGCATCTATTTTATTATCAAGTAGTGAAAGTACCTGGCTTTGCTCGGGTTATTAGGTTGATAGTGTGTGTATTCTGAACCCATTTTAGCATAAAAGTATAACCTATATACTTTTGTTGTTATGCAACATGACATAAAAACCATTGTTGGAACACATTGTTACCAAACCCCACTGGCTTTTCTACACATTAGAAGTTGTTATATGAGGAACCACTTCTTTTCTATGTGGTTTTTCAATAGCTTGCCTCACTAAAAAGATGCGCACACATATGGATAAGTAATGATACCCAGGTACACACCCTCAGGGGCCACTTAGCATGGGTGCAAAATTTCAGGTTTTTTAGGTTCTTTCCTCTTGGAGCTATGTCAATCACACACACACACACAGACTAACAGACACATCAATTTATTATTATAGATGTATGTAAATAAACTTGGCATCAAAATATAGTTAATACATCAATTTTTAATATTATGCTAGTTTTAATTCTTAATTTTAAAATGAAATGTTTAAATAAATTCTCAATCTTTGCTTCTTTGTATCAATTGACACTCATTCGCTTCAAATCACCATTTTAGATATTCTTACTACATCTTTACAATGTCCTGAGTTTAACATAAATTATATACTTATAGTATACATATTGCTAAGATGTATTCTAAATTTATAGACTCCAATCTTTTAACTTTACAGAAATATAAACCATAAAGTCAAACCCATGTGCCACACCCTTCTATCACATCATGAAGAGTGCAAGTTTTAGTTCAACTAAATGGATGATAAGCTTTAATAGAACAAGCTTTAGTTCAGCTAAATGGATAAGATTAAATATTCTTACCAAGTTATCAGCATCAAATATTTGAACTTCTCCAATGGTAGTGCTGCCTGGATAGGCCAAGAAGCAGTTCTCATTACTTGTTGAAAGTGCACAAATTCCATTAGGATTAGGTGGTGTATCTCTTATCGTATGTAAAACCTTCATGTCCCTGATGTTGTGAATATACAGACTTTCCTCCAGACAGACAACAAGTCTCTGAACAAAAGAAAATGTACCTTTACTACTATTTTAAAAACTTTTATCAGTCTAAAACCCAACCTAATGGTCTTTAATTTTAGTCAATCCAATGTTGTGTCAAGAGCATGGGAAATTCTGCATTTTTTAAATCTATGACACCCTGAAACAAGCAACTGAGGCATCAGCCACACTAAACATATGTTGTTTGTGGCTCATTATTATAAATCTTAGCATAAAAGAAAGTAAATAAAGGATAAGAGCATTTGTGGCATGAATTACACTAGTTACGAGTAACAAAATAATAAGTTACTGTACTAACACAGGTACTCAAGAGAACCTCGGAACTACTTCTTACAATGTTAATATCAATTTACTAGTGATGCATCAGCCCAGGATGTTGCGTGTTGAAAACTGGTACTCAAGAGAACTCGGAACTACTTTTTACAATGTTAATATCAATCCACTAGTGATGCAGTATATATTTTTGCATCATGTTACAGATAATGAAGACATCTGCATTGTGGAGAGGCTTTTCTCTTCAAGTCTTGTGGCTGTTGTCAGTCTTTCTTCTCCTCGCAAGCTCAAAGTCTGCCATTTCAAGAAAGGAACAGAAATTTGCAATTACAGCTACTCTAATACTATCCTAGCTGTCAAATTAAACAGAGTTGTGAGTACTGAATCCGTAAACATTTCATTTAGAATAAGTACGTTAATTGCCAGTTATGGTATTATATGGTAAAGCGATGAACACAATATAAGTGATAAAAAATCATACAAGACCTGTTTTTTTTATACATTTTTCTTACTTTGCACTTCTCAGATTTCAAATCAAAGACATTTGTCTCGCACTCGAACTCATCAGCTAAATTGGATATGACAGCTGACATGAATATATCCAAAGCACTGTTTTTATATTCTTTTGATTAGAATTCCATAGTGAACTAATAAGGAGAAATTTAGAAAAACAAACATTGGCAATCTATTGTAACTTTTATCACTGATACAAGGCCTATTTAGTGTTTGACTTGTAAGGTAGTTAGTGGTTGTCTGTGTTTGTAGAATAAACGTAAGATTAAAGTCCTAAAACAGACTTAACGTCCGTTTCTTTCTGCTTCCGTAAATTATTTTTAAAAACTTGCAGTTTTGACCGTTTTAATGGTATTAACGAAGGTCATCTAAAAAAGTCCAATCCTTTGACTTGTAAGGTAGTTAGTGGTTGTCTGTGTTTTAGACTAAACATAAGATTAACGTCCGTTTCTTTCTGCTTCCGTAAATTATTTTTAAAAACTTGCAGTTTTGACCGTTTTAATGGTATTAACGAAGGTCATCTAAAAAAGTTCAATCCTTGTAATTCCAATTATTTTTAGCACCTAAAATTACTTAGAATGGAATAGTGAAGAAAATTCACTACTGTAAAGTAAAATAATTGATATTTACAAAATATTTACTTGAATACATAACTGTTACTTTCTTAATAAGGAATAGTTGAAAACAAATTTAACCAGAAAATCTGACGTAACTAGATTTGAGATCACTTTTACATTTTTTGTTCAGTTATCGATAGTTTTTACCAGTTTGTGTATTTCATCGTACTTTTCATCCATGTTATACGATATATTCCATTTTTTACTGTATCATTGAGGAACTTAATAATCAAGATGTTGAACATGTCTTGATGACCTTTTACTTAATTGATGTATTTCACACCTTCGTGCACTCGAAACATCAGTTATTGACGTTGGTTGATGTTTTGAAAATTTACTGTATATAGGTCTAGAAAAATACCAAACAGTTGATATTTAGATTAAGTATCAATCAAAACTCTTGAATTGGGTAAGTTCTAAATCCACATACTGAACAATTCAGAAAATAATCCTTGTAATAAAAAATATGCATGATAAAATTATATTAATTGAATAAGTATGTTTTGCAAGTCTTACCATATTGTGTTTTTCAATGTAAGGAGTTACAAAATAAAGTTTGAATATTCTAAATTGCATGTAAGTGTTATAATGATAACTTATGATCATTTGACATTATGGTTGAAACTTGAAGCTTATATTCTATATTATGTAGAAAGACTGGTAAGCCTTATCATGCTAAAATGACAATAACAAGAACAGCTTTTGATAAAGTCTGATATCCTGTAGGATGTAAAGTAGATTGTCTCAAACATGGACAAGTTTAGATAAATTATAACGTTGCTTTTTGGCTTACTTAAAGGAATCGAATGACTATCTCCACTACTTGTACATTAAAAATAGCAATTTTTAATCTATGAAAGAGTTCAGAAATTCTTAAAATGTATTTGTGCTGATAAATAGAGGCTTGGTAGTTAGTGGTATTTGGTAATTGATTAAGGATTAGGTGATGAGCACAATATGTGATTTATACAAACCATCTACTCCACCACCAAAAGAGCTGCAGTTATCCTAACCAACGTAAGTTGATGAAAACAAACCTCTAAAGTCTAACACATTTTTAGAGTGTCAGCAAAAAGTCAATGGATGGACATTTACCATAGCAATCTTTAATTGATGTTCATATTGTTATATTAACATAGAATTGATCGGGCTTTAACTGGATTGCTGTAAACTCCAGCTGTGTAGATTTCGAGAAACCTCAAAAATCTTTTCTGGTAATTAATAGCCCAATCAAATAAAAACTTTGACGTACACTGTTACTTTGTGGATGTCTCATTGTTTTTTTTATTAATTTCTGAAAAAAATTGAAGGGGGTTCAGACCCCCTCACCCTTCTAGATCTATGGCTACTTATAAAACGTTAAATATTAGGTATTGGTTTCTGAAAAACAGATGTATGGAGCACAGATCCCCTGAACCCCTCCCATAGATCTGGACCTGCTTCTACAACATTAAAGAATACAGTTAGGTTATTACAAATTAGAGACAATGTAAGAAAACCCAGTACATTTACACTTTATTTGATACTTAATTAACCTGATAATTGTTTATGAATGCTACCCGCCAGCAGTTTAAAATACGTGACAATGGCAGATAGTTTTAGTAGCTGTGCAATAAGAAAGACGGGTCGAGCAGGTTTAATGGGAATTGAACTGAAGACCCTCTAATCATGAGGCTACTCCATCATGAAACTTTGTGCTTAACAATAAAGATAATGGCAGTATTCATTTACTTGGATAGTTAGAATGGTCAAAAAAGTAATATTTGAGAACATTTATTTTAATTAATTGATTATTTTAATTGGTACTAATCGATGTAAATGCTCATAGACAATCGATTAATTGATTAAATCACCCAGCTTTACTGATAGATTAATTCTAAGTGAAGTTTTCTTGCTTACAGATCAGTAGATTCCCTGATACTCGGTTAAAGAGAACATGACATTTTGATCTATTTTATAGTGTCTTCAGTATTGTATGCTCTACAGTTTAAAGGAGTCCTCTTTTCTTGCATCAATATTAAGGAGACATGGTGGAAATGTTGAGGGACATCTTTGAGACATACTAAACAGTATGATTCACGAACAGTTGTATTTAGTTGATGGAATAGGATCGTGTTATTTGTAATAATTCTACAATACCGTTTAGGTCTCCAAAGCAAAATCTAAAGTGATCTGTGTGGATATAGCATATTAGACATATGAAAAGTACCTGTGTTCAATTCATAACACCTGGGTTGGTTAGTTAGAAACAGTATTGTTTTTTCTAGTGATATTATGAAGTTGTGTTGTGTGTGTCCACGATAGTTAGAAACAGTATTGTTTTTTCTAGTGATATTATGAAGTTGTGTTGTGTGTGTCCACGATAGTTAGAAACGTTGTGTTGTGTGTGTCCACGAGTTGAACTTCTGTTTTATATTATTTATTATAAATCACAAACAATATCGGTGATATCTTTTGATTTAAAAACATCATAAAATCTTATTTCAGGTGATTTGTTTAAAATGATATATTTATGCCAGTATATTTTGTTTTATTATTCCTTATAAACACTATCATATTAATTTTTTTGTTTTCTACTTTATTGGCTTTCTCCATATGATTTATTGTAATCATTTTGTGCATTGTTTGTTTATTTTCAATTAGTTTCAGTTCATTGTTTAACTTTTTTCATAGATTTCCTTTGATGTTTTTACAATTTTTTTCTCTTCCCCCCAAAATGCTGTGCATAAAAAAAAGAAAAAGAAAATGGACTATGCTGTTAATGTTTCTTTATTTGAAAATTTTTAAATACAACGTATCTCTTGTTAGAGGTTAATTCTGTCATAACATTGTTTTTGTTTTTCATCCTCGAAGGTTCCATTCAGGTAAATATTTTGTTATGAAACACAAATTTGTTTCATTTCTTGTGAAGTATTTTTAAGTCTATTGATAGCATCAAGTTTCCAAAGAATGGTTCCTTTAGTTCACTCTGTTTTCTGTATCTATTTAAAAATAATGTTTTACCACTTGTCACTAACCTCATCACCTATGTCCTAAAACTCAATAAAAAAAAAAAGAGAACTTTAAAAGGATTGTTTTTTTTTCCACTGATATTATGAAGTTATGTTGTGTGTGTCCACGATAGTTAGAAACAGTATTGTTTTTTCTAGTGATATTATGAAGTCGTGTTGTGTGTGTCCACGATAGTTAGAAACAGTATTGTTTTTTCTAGTGATATTATGTATTCAAAATTAACCAAATGTT